CTCAAATTACCGCGTTTTTAAACCTGGGAAAATAATTCTACCGATTTATCCAATTGGCCGTTTTCTAAAAATACATTATGCAATAAATTATATACCAAAACAAATGGCAATTTTAATGCTTTAAAATGCTGCATAAACGACTGTCCTAGCACGAAACTGCCAAAGTTAATTGCAGCCATATCGGAACCTCAGATTACCGCGTTTATTAAACATAGAACAATAACTCTACCGATCTATCAAATTCACCAATTAGTAAAAACACACATTATGCTACAAATTATATACCATATTAAAGTGCAATCATAATGCTTTAAAATGAAGCATAAATGACTGTCATAGCATGAAAACTGTCAATGTTATTTGCAACCATATCGGAACCTCAAATTACCGCCTTTTTAAAGCTGTGAAAATAATTCTACCGATCTATCCAATTGGCAATTTTCTAAAAATATATTATGCAATAAATTATATACCAAAGCAAATGGCAACTATAATGCAATAAAAAGATATATAAACGACTGTTATAACATGAAAACTATAAAAGTTATTTGCAACCATATCGGAGCCTTAAATTACCGCATTTTTGAACCTGTACCAATAAATATACCGATCTATCCAATTTTTGTAAAAATTCATTATGCCACAAATTAGACACCAAAATAAAGTGCAACTGTAATGCTTTAAAATGATGTGTAAACTAATGCCGTAGCATGAAAACTGTCAAAGTTATTTGCAACCATATCGGAACCTCAAATTACCGCGTTTTTAAACATAGAACAATAATTCTACCGATCCATCAAATTGACCATTTTTTAGACGAACACATTATGCCACAAATGATATACCAAATTAGAGTGCAATCATAATGCTCTAAACTGATGCATAAATGACTGTCATAGCATGAAAACTGTCAAAGTAATTCACAACCATATCGGAACCTCAAATTACCGCCTTTTTAAACCTGGGAAAATAATTCTATCGATCTATCCAATTGGCCATTTTCTTAAAATACATTATGCAATAAATAATATACCAAAACAAATGGCAATTTTAATGCTTTAAAATGGTGCATAAACGACTGTCCTAGCACGAAAACTGCCAAAGTTAATTGCAACCATATCGGAACCTCAGATTACTGCTTTTATTAAACATAGAACAATAATTCTACCGATCTATCAAATTGACCAATTTGTAAAAACACACATTATGCTACAAATTATATACCATATTAAAGTGCAATCATAATGCTTTAAAATGATGCATAAATGACTGTCATAGCATGAAAACTGTCAATGTTATTTGCAACCATATCGGAACCTCCAATTACCGCCTTTTTAAAGCTGTGAAAATAATTCTACCGATCTATCCAATTGGCAATTTTCTAAAAATATATTATGCAATAAATTATATACCGAAACAAATGGCAACTATAATGCAATAAAAAGATATATAAACGACTGTTATAACATGAAAACTATAAAAGTTATTTGCAACCATATCGGAGCCTTGAATTACCGCAGTTTTAAACCTGTACCAATAAATATACCGATCTATCCAACTTTTGTAAGAATTCATTATGCCACAAATTATACACCAAAATAAAGTGCAACTGTAATGCTTTAAAATGATGCATAAACTATTGCCCTAGCATGAAAACTTTCAAAGTTATTTGCAACCATATCGGAACCTCAAATTACCGCGTTTTTAAACATAGAACAATAATTCTACCGATCCTTCAAATTGACCATTTTTTAGACGAACACATTGTGCCACAAATGATATACCAAATTAAAGTGCAATCATAATGCTCTAAACCAGCGTTTAAATATGCAGCACTAGCACCACCTCTCTTGTATATGACTATAAAATAAATATGAAACTTTATCATTTTTGTATCACTTTGCTACTAAAAATTGCAGTCATATATATTCGTATTAATATAAAAATTGCAACTCGTGTTTGCAATTTCTAGTAGCAGGCAGACATAATTGCAGGCCATCACAAATATATTTTTGTGCTTTAGCAGCGCACACTCAAATTTGTTAAACTAATATGGCGAGTATTTATGTTATTTTTGTTTGCGTTTAGTTTTTCCTAGCAGCAATGTAACTTTATTTTGGTTTTGCTACTGCCAGTTGTAGTTTTATTTATTATTTTTTGGCAATATTGATGCTGCAATTGTAAATAAACATATGTAGGTATGTATGTAATACACTGACAGTTTATGACATTTCATGAGTTAAATTCGGTTTACATTCACATTTGTACGCAGTATGTATGTACATTATTGTATGGAGTACTGGATGTATGTATGAGTTTAAGGATGTAGTAGTATGTATTACTGATGTTATGTATGTATGTACTGTATGTATGTATGTTGTATTATGTATGTATGTATGTAGTATGTTTTATGTATGTATGTGTATGTATGTATGTATGTATGTTTTTTTATTTATTTGTATGTATGTATTAGGGGTAGTATGTGTATGTATCTGTATGTATGTATGTATGTATGTATGTATGTATGTATGTATTATGTATGGAGTATGTCTGATGTATGTATGTATGTATGTATGTATGTATGTATGTATGTATGTATGTATGTATGTATGTATGTATGTATGTATGTATGTATGTATGTATGTATGTATGTATGTATGTATGTATGTATGTATGTATGTATGTATGTATGTATGTATGTATGTATGTATGTATGTATGTATGTATGTATGTATGTATGTATGTATGTATGTATGTATGTAGTATGTATGTATGTATGTATGTATGTATGTATGTATGTATGTATGTATGTATGTATGTATGTATGTATGTATGTATGTATGTATGTATGTATGTATGTATGTATGTATGTATGTATGTATGTATGTATGTATGTATGTATGTATGTATGTATGTATGTATGTATGTATGTATGTATGTAGTAGTATGTATGTATGTTGTATGTATGTATGTATGTATGTATGTAGTATGTATGTATGTATGTATGATGTATGTATGTATGTATGTATGTATGTATGTATGTATGTATGTATGTATGTATATGTATGTATGTATGTATGTATGTATGTATGTATGTATGATGTATGTAATGTATGTATGTATGTATGTATGTTGTATGTTGTATGTATGTATGTATGTATGTATGTATGTATGTAGATGTATGTATGTCTGTATATGTATGTGTATGTGTTGTATGTTCTCGTATGTATTCTGTATGTATGTATGTTCTGTATATATAGTCTGTATGTCTGATATTGACACTATGTAATTATAAATATATTTATAATATCTCGTGATATCGACTATATTCTGTATGATGACACATAATTTTAAATATGTAAATAATACATGAAAATACGAAAATCTACCTTGATATTTGTTTGTTTTTTTTCCTTAATGTATTACAAAATAATATTAACTACTGTTTATGCTGAGGGGGTTTGCGGGGGACAAATATTTCTATAAAATTTACTGCTTACCGAAAGAAGTGAGTACAAAATTTGTCGGGTTATAAAAATTAACAATAATGTTTTATTTTTCAATTATGCGAGTGGAAGTTATTACTTTAACTGCGCTAATTACTGAAACTATTTATTCTTATAAGAAATGCAATAAGCAATAAATAATAAGAATAATAGCTAAGCGAATTCAATAGAAAGAGATAATAACAATGAGATCAATTGTGAGAGTGCCAAAAAAACAACCACCAAAAGTACACTTTCCAGTACAGTTGGTAGCATTGTATTAGATGCACTTTTAATACAAATACAAAATAAGAATAATCTTTCATATTAGACCTAAACATCCCGGCCCCCTTGCGTTAACGCAACACACAAAGGGGTCGGCTGGAAAGGTTAGAGTTGGTATAAGAGATAGTTTCTAGATTAAAAAATACAGATTTAACTCAGGGCGAAATGGAATTTTTTGCAAATTTTTATAGAAATTCATTATAGATATTATACAACGAATAAAGATGCATGGATTTGTAATTAGGAATATACGATATTCATAAAGATACAATATTCGGTATATATTAGATAATTATAAAAAAAATATTTTTGTTTCTAATTCAAGGATGTACAATTCAAAACGTTATTTCACAAATTTTAATATAATTTGAAATTAATAAGTTTTTTTAAAAAACTTGTTATATACGAATTTTTCCAATTAATATCCATCCTAGCATGGTGTCTTGAGCCATAGGAGTTGTGAGTGTTGGGGGATGAATTGTTGACTTTATTACGTGAGGGTATACGTCTGCACCAAGAATGATGTTAATATCACAAGCTTTGAAAAAATCAGGATCTGCTAGGTGGAGGCTTTTGTATTGGTCCGCTACTTTTTCATCAAGGTTTTGTTCTCGTAAAGGTTGGGGCAATTCATTGGTTACGATGGCGTTGACCACATACATAGGCCCATCTACAAAATGCGGTTTAAATGTTAGCTTGCACATTTGCCTTAAACCAGATCTTTCAATTGGCAGATGGTATCGTTTTGGCAGAAATTCAGCTATTTTCGTTGTTTCACTAGATGGGTTAAGAATACAACGAATGTTACCCCAGACATCGCCTAATTTGACCCTTATAATTACAGATGGCCTCAATATATCCGAATTAAACAAGTTTACAGCGGGATTTGCATTCACCTCACGAGTCACTGTTCTCGAATGTAGAAGCGTATGATGTTGTCTATTACATCTTCGGCACCTTTCAGAGCTGCGGCATCTAGATAGACAATGGCTATGAGCCAGACAATTCTTGCAGTACTTAAACCTTTCGACAACCCTCAATCTAGCTGTAATGGACATATTCATAAATTTGCGGCATGTTCGTAATGGATGATCACGTTTGCATAATTTGCAATCAGGCTGATAATTGCGATGTAGTAAACTATTTCGGGATCTTTGATTTATTTCAACGGTTGACAAGTTTCTGTTTCGGCGATGGTGGGGAGACATTATGCTGTGAAAGAGAGAATTATTAGTTTGATTGATCAGAATGTGTTGGGAGTAGAACTAATTTAGTTATTGGTCTGGTCAATATGCCTGAGGAAGTACGTATTTCCGCCACTCTAATGTTGTTGTCATGTCCAGGAAAAACCTTTTCTATACGACCAAGTCGCCATTCATTGGGAGGGAGTTTATCTTTTTTAATAACAACAAGATCACCTATTGAAAAGTTTTTTTGAGGATATTTCCACTTGATGCGTTTATGCATTTCTTTCAAATATTCTTCTTTCCATCTGCAAGCGAAATGATGGTGTAAGACGTTAAGTTTTTGCCATCTATTAACATAGCTAAGAGATTGATTAGACAAATCTGGTTCAGGGGGTGAAAGAAGAGGGGCACCAATGAGAAAATGTCCGGGCGTAAGAGCACAAAGATCATTTGGGTTTTCACTCATTGGGCATAGTGGTCTTGAATTGAGACAAGATTCTATTCTTGTGATCATAGTGGTAAATTCTTCGAAGGTAAAGCTTTGTACGTGTGTTATTTTCTTAAGATGTAATTTAAAACTTTTTACTCCTGCCTCCCAAAGGCCACCCATATGAGGAGCACCTGGAGGGATGAAATGCCAATCTATAGTTTGAAAAGAATGCTGAGCCAGTAGATTATTACGTATTTGTGACAATAAATGGATTTGGTTCTTATTAAATATGTTGGAAGCGCCAACAAATGCTGTTCCATTGTCGGAATAAAGAGCTTTTGGGGTACCACGTCTGGAAAAGAAACGGGAAAATGCGGCTAAAAATGCTGGGGTTGATATTTCGCTTGTGACCTCCAGATGAATTGCCTTTGTGGCGAAACACACAAATACTAGAACATATCCTTTAGTCACTTTGCATCCTCGACCTACATAAGATTTTATATTGAATGGTCCTGCAAAGTCAAGGCCTGTATTTGTAAAGGGACGCGAGAGAAAAGTTCTTTCAGGGGGAAGTGAAGCCATTAGCTGCTGACTTTGTTTATGCTTGTACATAACACATTGTTTACAGTTAAAAATGTAGTCTTGACTAAATTTTTAAGTTTTGGCACCCAAAATTCTATTCGCACTAATCTAGTTAATAAAGAATTGGCACCATGAATAGTAAATTTATGTAGAAGTTCAAGATAGAGACGGGTAAATCTAGCTGAATAAGGCAAAATCTTTGGAAAACGCTCTTCATACGATAGAATTGGACATTGTGCGAGTCTTCCATTTATTCTCATTATACCATTAGAATCTATAAATGGATTTAATGTGAGTAAGGGACTTTTTCTGGGGATTTCTTGATTAAGAGACAGCAATATATACTCCGGGAAATATAGCATTTGACAACAGATCACTAAACGTGTTTTTATGTACTTTATTTCCGATTGTTGTAGAGTTAAAGTTGGACAGTTGAAGTTATTTTTGAAACGAGGATGAGTTGCCTTATAAAAACGATATATATACGAGATTACGCGCATAGCCCTTGCGAGATCAGAAAAACGACTAAGAATATCTTCTGATAGTTGATTTAAATGGGATCTTATAGGTTTTATTTCCTCTATAGTGTCTATAATTGGTGATATTGAAGGCCATTCGGAATTAGGAAGTCTCAGCCATGGTGGTCCATACCACCACAGATCATTGGTAACCAGTTCGCTGGCATTGAGACCACGTGTTCCAAGGTCTGCTGGATTGTCTTGAGAACAAACATGACGCCATTTATCGTTTCCAACCTTATCGATTATTGATGTGACTCTATTCGCGACAAAAGTGTTCCAATGCGTAGGGTGTTTTTGTAGCCATGCTAAGACAATTGTTGAGTCTGTCCAACAATGCAATTCAAAACTATTAAACGTAACTTGGGACAGAAAAGACGATACCAATTTAGATAACAATTCTGCACCACACAGCTCTTTTCGGGGAAGTGTAAGAAATTTGACTGGTGCAACTTTAGTTTTAGATAGAAGTAAATGAGAAGATATATGGTTGTTTTCGTTTATGGTACGAATGTATAAAGTTGCAGCATATGCCTTCTCTGAGGCGTCACAAAAGCCGTGGAATTCAATGGTGCATGAGGGAGTATAACCAACAAAGCGGGGAATTTTTATTTGTTCTATATTGGGGTAATCGTCTAAGAATGAAAGCCAACTATTTAAGGTTTCAGGTTTTAGGTTTTCGTCCCAATCAATTTGATCCTTCCAAATCTGTTGCATAATCATTTTGGCAATGATAATTTTTGGTGCTAACCATCCGGCTGGGTCAAACAATTTCGCAATATCAGACAGGACCGTTCGCTTTGTAATATTTTCACGAGATGGTTGTTTTATGGGATTAAAATAGAAGAAATCAAGACCTGCGTTCCATCGAAGACCTAGGGTTTTAGTGGTAGTTGTGTCTTCTAACTTTAATATATCAGACGATAAGAGATGTTCGGGTTTCAGTCCGACTAAAAGTGAATTCTCATTAGAAATCCATTTGCGAAGAGAAAATTTAGCAGAATCTAAGACTTTTATAAGTTCATCTCTTGATCTGAGTGCCAGGGATAATTCATGGGAACCAGCTAGGACATCATCTACGTACATATGATTATTTAAGATGTTAGAAACTTCGGGGTAATCATTTTTACATTGTTCGGAAAGTTCTAGCAAAGTTCTTATCGCAAGGTATGGGGCGCAATTTACACCAAATGTTACAGTTTGTAATTCAAAATCTTCGATTTCTTTATCGGGTGAATTTCGGAAAATAATCCTTTGAAACGGGGTATGTCGGGGGTTAACTAGAATCTGTCTGTACATTTTTTCAATATCCGCATTGAAAACGTACTTGAACAGACGCCAACGAGTAATAAGCACAGTTAAATCTTGTTGTAGAACTGGTCCAGGAAGTATAACATCATTTAGACTCAATCCAGTTGAAGTAGCACTAGAGGCATTGAACACAACACGAAGTTTGGTGGTTGTGCTTTCGGGTTTAAGGACAGAGTGATGAGGTAAATAGTATGATGAGTTAGGGGTATCATTATCATTTGATATTTTGATCATATGACCTAGAATCGAATATTCTTCGATTACTTGGTCGTAATCGGTTTTATATTGGGGATTTCTTAGAAGTCTAGTCTCATTTCTAATAAACTGAGCTAACGCTGAATTACGAGAATGACCGAGGTGTAGATCATTAGGAAAGTCTGATTTAAAAGGAAGATATACGACGAATCGTCCAGAATTGTCTCTATAGGTTGTGGATTTGTATAAATTTTCGCAGAAAAGGTCATCGTTTGACATAGTTCTTACTTGTGGCACCTCTTCAAGTTCCCAAAATTTGGTTATTTCTTTATTTAGGTCCAAAGTATTAATAAAAGACGACACAGAGTTCAGCGTAGAATTAGGGGATTGTAACCTGCCTGTAATTATCCATCCGAAAATGGTACGTTGAGCAACAAGAGATCTTTGATGATCCCAACGAACGCCATCTCTTATAATTTTAGGGTAAATGTCACAACCTAGCAAAAGTTCAACTTTTGAAGTTTTGGAAGAATAGTTATCGGCCAAAGGGAGATCTGAGAATTTCAAGCTCATAAGAGAAGACATTTCGTAATAAGGCAGATCTCCAGTTAGTTTATTGATGACATAAGCGTCAGCTGTTGTTTCGAAAAGTTTTTCTACCGGTGAACTTATTCGTATGGGACAAATTTGGGTTGCCGTGGCGGTTAAAGAACCGCTTAAACCTGTTATATTAGTATGGGACGATTTTGTGGGAAGTAGTAATGTAGATTGGAGCTTCTTTGAAATGAATGTTGCTTCTGAAGCTGAGTCAATAAGGGCTCTAACTGTACGGCGTACGTTTCCTACGCAAATGTCTACTAAGGCTGTACCAAGAACAATAGAATTATGTGTAGTGGACTGTAGTTGTGTGGAGTATGATTGCTGCGACCTGGTTGCAGCTGAAGTTGTAGCATACTCGTCGAGGTTGTTAACCGGTTGTGGTTGAGCTGATTCATGGATGGTATTTATTGAGGAATTAGTGGGTTGCCTAGTGCTTGTTTGATTAGAAACAGTCGGGTTTTGAGAGCGATGTAAAAGAGAGTGATGTTTTCGTTTACAGAGCGAACAAGTATATTCACTTTTACATGCTTTGTAGTCATGAGATGTGCCCAAACAGTTAGTGCACCGTTTTTGCTTTTTGGCCACCGAATAACGGTCTTCAATAGACATGGATAGGAAAACGGGACAAAGACGTAAGGGATGAAACTCATTACAAAGGGAACACTTTTTGGTCTTATCATTAGACACCTTGGTTTGAAATGTATTTATCTTTTTTGGTTGATTAGAATTATGTTTCTTGAAATTACCTTTCCTTGAGAAATTTTGAGAATCGACCGAAGTTGTACGAATGTCAGCAAAACCTTCAAGAGATTGATACCTACAGGTCAGAAAACTATCCATTTCTTTCCACAATGGCAACTCTTTGGTATTTCCTAAGTGTTGCTGCCACAAATGTAGACTAATGTCAGGAAGGCACTTCGCGCAAATAAAAACAAAAATAACATCCCAGTTGCTAGTGTCAATCTTCAAAAGTGCAAGGTTTTTTCTGCAGTCGTTAATAGATCTTTGGAGCTGTTTAATACTAGGTCCAGATTCTCTATATATGGGGTTATTTAACAAATTGAATAGTGCCTTTAATTGAGTGTGAACAAGTACTCGGGTATTCTCATAGCGATCTACTAGATTTCCCCATGCTATCTCAAAACCATCGTTAGTTAAGGGGCAGTTTTTTAAGATGTCATGAGGTTCACCTTCAGTTTTCTTTAATAAATGAAACAGTTTCTCAACGGGGGATAGTTGTTTATTGTTTATGTATAGAGCCGTGAACATGTCACGAAACGATGGCCAGGAGACGTAATCTCCATAAAAAGTTTGTGTATCACACGGGGGGAGAGAAATGCAGGGTTTGGAATCACTCGAAGAGGGAGGGGAAGTGTCAGAAGAAACATCCTTAATACGAAGGGAATCTAAGATTTCGTTGGCCTTTGATAAAGCTCTCACATGAGAATCAAATGTTTTATAAAATCGTTCTTTCAATGTTTCCACTTTTACTTCTTTGCCAAGAGTTTTATAATTAACTAAAATTTCGTCATAAGCCCTTCTAAATTCATCCCAGTGACGGAGAATCTCATCTTTGTGTATTTCTAAAGTGTGTATGCTATGGTTAACAGCTGGTATACCTGAGAAGAATGCTTCAAACTCTACCACTTGGTCGGAAGTTTTTATAAAATTGTCCAATAAAGACATATTAAGAGCGTGTTTTAAAAATTGCTTCAAAGGGCTAAACGAAAAATTCACAAAAAATAGTTTACACCAAAAAGATTTATTTTCTTTAACTTTATTTATTCCAAGTTTGTGTATAGAATTTAATTCTTTGGAGAATATTTAATAATAATTAATTATTTAGAAATATATTTAATAGTAATTTAATCTAAATTACTTAAAATTATTTCCAAAAATAAATATAGTTGCTTTAATTCCTTTTTATTATTTTTGAAGAAAAAATAATAAAAGAACGATAAAATTTGTTTAAAATCAATTAAAATACACAAAATCTATAAGGTAATTTAATAACCAGAATTTATTTGTTAAATGGATAAAAGATATTTTGTTCATATATTTTTATTATATATATATTTAAAAAAAGCGGATATTTTTTTGGGTGTATTACAATTAAATTGAACTGTTAAAATTGATTATGGAATTGTGAGAAAATAATTCGGACAAATATCTGTTGTACTTATTGATAATTCTCTTAATACACAAGGCTGTTATTACCACTGTTATAATTGAGTAGATGTAATTTAAGTTGTATATTATGGCTATAGAATGTTCTCTTTAGTAGAAGATAAACAATACTGTTACCAATAATGTTAAAATTTTTGTAGATCTTGTGATATTGTTATACAAATAAATATTTTTGAACAAGTGGATTTCGTTGTTATTAGCAAGGGAAATTTGGTGTTCATAAAAATCGTAACGGTTTTTATATAAAGTGGTAGGTAGATATTATTGTTGTTTTATTATTATTTTTTTATAAAGTATGTAAATTAAAATTTTTAAATTGTTACAATACCTTCAAGTTTAGTTTTGCAATAGATTACCCTTTTTATAAGACTTGCTGTGAACGAGTTTTGTTTAATCCAAATGAGATGTTGATATTATATTAGTAAAGCTGAAATGATGAGGTGACACTTATTATAGATGAGACGTTGAGCTCCTTTTTATTATGACTTTGCAGTAGTAATAACACCACATATAGCACTTCGGGATTTTTTTTTTTTAATCGGGGACTTCTTAAGCACAATTATTTAAGAAATATTTGTAGTTTATAGGTTTTTATCCGGTTCGAAGGACCACACAATGTTTATGCTGAGGGGGTTTGCGGGGACAAATATTTCTATAAAATTTACTGCTTACCGAAAAGAAGTGAGTACAAAATTTGTCGGGTTATAAAAATTAACAATAATGTTTTATTTTTCAATTATGCGAGTGGCCAGTTATTACTTTTACTGCTGCTTAATTACTGAACTATTTATTTCTTATAAGAAATGCAATAAGCAATAAATAATAAGAATAATAGCTAAGCGAATTCAATAGAAAGAGATAATAACAATGAGATCAATTGTGAGAGTGCCAAAAAAACAACCACCAAAAGTACACTTTCCAGTACAGTTGGTAGCATTGTATTAGATGCACTTTTAATACAAATACAAAATAAGAATAATCTTTCATATTAGACCTAAACAACTACATTTCTTCAAAAAAAAAAAAAAAAAATATAAAAATCTTCCACATTTTAAAAGTGTGATTTGAATAATTTGTAAAGTAAGCTCATTAGAATTCAACGAAAAATATTTTAATTATGTGTGTTCACCCTGTTTTGTACAAGGTGATTATAAATTTATTAATTTCTACAACAAAAAATATTTAAAACTATTATTGGGTTATAAAATTGTTATAAGTATAAGCATATTATCTTACAACTACATTGCTCAAAAATGTTTATTCATTAGAACAAAATAATAAAAACATCTAAAGAACGCTTTTAATTTGAGTTGTGTTTTATGGGGTAGCCATATTTTCAATAACATATACATATTTATTTAATTCACATGGAGGTTCTAAGCCCCCTAATAAAAGTCTGCCCATTTTTTCCCAATGTTCATAATGCAGTTAAAGTTTTTCGTCAAAATTAGAAGATTCTGACTCTAATAGTTTCCGAGAAAAACGATTTCTGTATTTAATTCATATGGGAGGTGTAGTGTTTATAAAAAACCGACTTTTGGAAAAACCGGTTTTTCGGTTAACCGAAAATTGACCATTTCTAAAAAACCGGTTTGTCGGTTAACCGAGTACAAAAAAACCGGTTAAACCGGTTAACCAAAAATGTTTGGAAATCTTTAAAATATTATAATATTTAGTTGAAAAATTTCATTTTGCGAAATATTATGAATTACTTAATAAGATATTTGCACTTTTTAGTATAAATATGTACATTAATATATCATAAGAAAGCAAACTTATACAGATCTGAAGTTATTATTGATTCGTCAGGTATATGGAAGTTGCCATAGGAGGAATAAATTGACCTTTGAATATATAATGCATCTATATCAATAAAAAATTTTATGTCCAACACTAGTATAAATAGTGTTCAGGCTCGAGACGATTCATCGGGAACGGAAGTAGACGACGACTGTCTCGACATAGACATTGAGCCACTGCTTTAATTGTGACCACCCTCCGCTCACTACGCCTGTGGTTGTTCAAATTACTGTGAATGACACACAGGTGTCAGTACTTACTTCCTGATAATCAACCTAAGCGCCATTACAGTTTGTGAAAAACCCCAGCAGCATAAATTCTCGGACAGCGACAATTACCCTTATGTTTCGATAAATAAAATCCGTTTTGAGAACGTTTGACAAACTTCTCGATTTTTGTTATACTCACGCAGTAAACAAGGAAGTGCATTTTATAATCAACGTTATTTATTCGTCTTAATAAGTAACAAATTTCTTCATATAATGGTTGGAATTTGTTTAAATACTTAATTTTTTATTATTTTTTTGTCTGAATTTGTAAATCTCCATTTTATATGCATAGTATATGTTTAACATTTCCTAACATTTGTTTAACAATCTCAACTATCCAAAATTTTTAAAAATCACAATAAAAAATCAAAGAAAACATACAATTTTGTACTAAAAATTAGATTTTTTTGAAATCGGTTAACCGAGACTTAAAAACCGGATAACCCGGTTAACCGAAAACCAATGTTTTAAAAAAAACCGGTTTGCGAAAAACCGAAATATGCAATAAAAACCGGTTCTTCGGTTAACCGGTTAACCGGTTTATAAACACTAGGGAGGTGCCACTATGTATATTTTACAAACTATTTTTTATGTTGCGAAAAATAATTATCCTTAATTAGAGATTGTGGTAACACTGGTATAACTGTTTATTCATAAAATAAAATATAAAAAAACAATAAATAAATTTGCAGCAAGCAGTTGCAAAACAAAATTTAATTGCTACTAGAAAAAACTCAGCGCAAATAAAAATATCATCAATACTAGCCATATTAGTTTAACAGATTTGAGTGTGCGCTGCTATAGCACAAAAATATATTTTTTTCTTGTACAACAAACAAGAGATTAATACTGTTCATTCGTGCTGCTAGAGATTGCAGTGTAACGTCGCAATTTTTCTAGTTAAACATAAAAACAGAACGGCAATATTTAGTAGCAATGCTATTTAAATCTGAAAAAGTTTAAATATTTTTAGTATGACGAGTGATAAAAATGTGTATTTTGCGGCAAATGCTGACTAATATATTAGTAAAAGTAAACACTGCTCTAAACTGATGCATAAATGACTGTCATAGCATGAAAACTGTCAAAGTTATTCACAACCATATCGGAACCTCAAATTACCGCCTTTTTAAACCTGGGAAAATAATTCTACCGATCTATCCAATTGGCCATTTTCTTAAAATACATTATGCAATAAATTATATACCAAAACAAATGGCAATTTTAATGCTTTAAAATGGTGCATAAACGACTGTCCTAGCACGAAAACTGCCAAAGTTAATTGCAACCATATCGGAACCTCAGATTACTGCTTTTATTAAACATAGAACAATAATTCTACCGATCTATCAAATTGACCAATTTGTAAAAACACACATTATGCTACAAATTATATACCATATTAAAGTGCAATCATAATGCTTTAAAATGATGCATAAATGACTGTCATAGCGTGAAAACTGTCAATGTTATTTGCAGCCATATCGGAACCTCAAACTACCGCGTTTTTAAAGCTGTGAAAATAATTCTACCGATCTATCCAATTGGCCATTTTCCAAAAATATATTATGGAATAAATTATACACCAAAGCAAATGGCAACTATAATGCAATAAAAAGATATATAAACGACTGTTATAACATGAAAACTATAAAAGTTATTTGCAACCATATCGGAGCCTTAAATTACCGCATTTTTGAACCTGTACCAATAAGTATACCGATCTATCCAATTTTTGTAAAAATTCATTATGCCACAAATTATACACCAAAATAAAGTGCAACTGTAATGCTTTAAAATGATGCGTAAACTAATGCCCTAGCATGAAAACTGTCAAAGTTATTTGCAGCCATATCGGAACCTCAAATTACCGCGTTTTTAAACATAGAACAATAATTCTACCGATCCATCAAATTGACCATTTTTTAGACGAACACATTATGCCACAAATGATATACCAAATTAAAGTGCAATCATAATGCTCTAAACTGATGCATAAATGACTGTCATAGCATGAAAACTGTCAAAGTAATTCACAACCATATCGGAACCTCAAATTACCGCCTTTTTAAACCTGGGAAAATAATTCTATCGATCTATCCAATTGGCCATCTTCTAAAAATACATTAAGCAATAAATTATATACCAAAACAAATGGCAACTAAAATGCAATAAAAAGATGTATAAACGACTGTTATAACATGAAAACTATAAAAGTTATTTGCAACCATACCGGGGCCTTAAATTACCGCATTTTTAAACCTGTACCAATAAATATACCGATCTATCGAATTTTTGTAAAAATTCATTATGCCACAAATTATACACAAAAACAAAGTGCAACTGTAATGCTTTAAAATGATGCATAAATGACTGTCATAGCACGAAAACTGTCAAAGTTATTCACAACCATATCGGAACCTCAAATTA